TAACAACTATAATGTTTCAAGTTATGGAGTTTGATTTTTTCTTTGCTACGTGTTAGTATGGTCTTTCTCACTCCCATCCAATGCATACAAGACTAACTCTTGGGACGTTATCTTGTCTTGGTCTTGGTTTGCGAGTTTCGAGAACATTTCATGTCGTGTCGGTCTACCCGCACTTTGTTTGTCTTTGTTGGCTTGCGGTGGAATGTTTGCTACACATTGACGTTTGTTTGGTGGTTTTTGGTTGGCTGCTTGAATTTCCTTCATCACTTGAATGTTTTTCTGACCGACGGTTAGTGGTGGTGATATTGGCGCTTGTTGTTTTGGGGATGGTGGTGGTTGAGGTGGTGTCGGGGGTTATTTCATTGAAGAGGTCGGGTAATTCTTCGATAAGGTCATTTGGGTCAAGGTAATTAGATATCAGCTGTTCGGTGGCTTGGGCAGCTTGTGTTTCCACTGTTTCCATTGTTGTAGTTTTCGGTGTTGGGGTGTATCGGAATTTCATGCAGTTGGTTTCTGTAGGCATTGTTTTGGTTGTGTATGGGACGACGACTGTGGATGATTGAGTTTTTGTGTTCTGCTACTTCCATCGTATAAATGCTACTTCGTAATTTAGGTTTGTATGGTTTTTGAATTTGTAGAAGTCTGTGAACATAAGCATACCATGATAGTCCAAGAATGTCAGAAAATCTTGTTGTTGTTGCGGTGAACACATCGTGATGAATAAACGTTGAAACAATTGTCTGTAGATTAAATTTAGGTCATTTACCATATAAGGGCGGTTGTGGGTAGGGCTTGGAGATCATACGATCGTTGCTCAATTACCTTATATGGTTAAGTTATGAAAGATCATACGATAGTTACTCGATTACCTTATATGGTTAAGTTATGAAGATTATACAATTTAGATTGATGTTACGTGTGTTTATTGAATTCTTTAGACGCGGTGGGAGTTTGACCTTGCTCTTCTAAATCGCTTTCATAAATATCTTTATAATATACAGCATTGTTCTCCCTTTCTAGGTTCTGAGGCTCCTTGATACCATATAGTTTTTCTAGGCATTGTACGAATGTTTCACCTTTTGACTTTTTCAATACTTTTCCCAAAAAAACCTCACCTTCAAAACCACCTTTACCCACAGGTTAGGCTTCACATCATCATACTTAACACGCTTCTTCTCATCAACCAAAGGCATGGTGTCTTCATCTGGTAGTTCACTCGAAAGATTCTCTGAACTACAGGCACCAGAACTAGTAGACCTTGATGTATCTGTGTCTGAATCACCATCCTGATTACGTTCATCACTTAGGTCCTCCATGCTGATACTTTTTCCAGCTTCAACCACCAATCGCTTACAACGTTGTCGAGGTTTCTCTGGATCTGCATTTCGCATTCTCTTTAATTGTGGTAGTACTACTTCGGAGATCTTATGTGACATAGCTTCTGTAGTTTGTGGCAACTTTTTCAAAAGCTCATCTGGGTTAAGGTGGCTCCCTACAGTTATAGTCCAGTTTATAATATTTATATAGCTCAGACGTCATCCTCGCAACTCGCGCGTGGAATCGTCGTGGCCCGGTAAAAATCTTGAAACAAGTAAACAAGCCGCGGGAAGTTGTTTTTGTATTTTTATCTACAAAGAAAACGCCAGTTTTTTATTATAATCCTAAACTTTTCAACATTCGAACAGTACGTATGTTGTTAGCTAGTTTTTACCTATATTCAGTGTGTTTTTTTTATATATTTAATACGTTCAGTACTGTATTTCATAATGCTCACAATGTTCAACAACAGTGTCACGGACTGAAATTATATTTTATACTGTCTTGAAGGCACTCCTGAATTGTCACTGAAACTTACGTAAACCCTGTCATTCAACTCAGTTCACATGTAGTTTTTTATCTGCTGAATCCAATAAAATTATAATGCAGACAGTTACGAGTTGTTTTATACGAAAAGTCAAACTCTACTTGAATGTTTTGAAAAGTTTTCACACCGATTTTCATAACAAAACTAAATTTAAGAAGCGTTGGATTAAGTCAGTGCGTTATTGTGTTCTCAATGTTTCGTATTTTGAATACATATGTCTTTTATTTTCATTTCAAATAAGTAAAAAATATCTGTGTGATACATATAAGCCAAAAACTCAAAGAGAAAATTGTTAAAAAAGCCAACTATAAACCGTACGCGTTTCGTGTTCCCCACGCAAATAGTGATCATGTCGAATCGATATTTTGTCACGTCAACAGCTTCAACTGGATTTAGGACTATTTTTCTCGCGTTTCCTTCGGTGAAAGTTTTTTAAACTTTGCACGTTTGCTAAGCATGACGATTCGCCAAACATATCAAAATTTCAAGAAATTCTATAAGACAGATTTTTTGTAGTCGTTATTCATGAATATCTCAAAATCGGCCTTATAAACATCCCTTCAAATTTTAATATGTCATTCCCCTTTCAACCATAAATCTTAAAAAAAAAAATTCAGAAAAATTGACCGAAGGAAAAAAAAGATATTGCCGTTTGATTGTAAAATTAGACAATAAAAGTGCAAAAGATGAAACGTCATGGTTGCCATGGCAACACTAACACTGTTCCTATTTGTTCATATATCGACAGCAGAAGACTTCTGAACTTTCCTGGAAATGATTATATTGCCCTGTCTTAAGTGTTTTCAATATAAATTTGGTTCAAAACGAAGGCTACCTAAAATACTTAAAATTTTAGAAAACTGTAGGGAGCCACCTTAAATGTGATAACTAATCTGTTTCAAATAATATAATCGTAACGTAGCCTACATTTTGTCTGAAGCGGTTTGAAGTAATGCCTGATGGCCTCGCAATATTGGCCGCCGTGTTTTTAGTCATAATTATTTGCCCGATATGTTTCGGTATATCGGTACACCTAGCAGTCCTAGTACTCCAAACATTGTTTTCTATTAACTGACTGACTGAGTGAGCTTTCATTTTGTAGTGATAGTTTGGTTCTAATTTCTAAATATGTGAATGTAATTCTATTTCTCGTTGTTAGACGGTTTATATATGTAATATGATATTTTCCTTTCATTTGTGCATGCAATTAAATTTCATATCCAGATCTTGTTGTTTCTGTGACAATTGCATTTGTTCAAGCTAGCGTGTAGGAAATATTTTTGCCCCCGTAAAATTAATATGAAATATAAATTGTCTCGTGTTGATGTTTTAACTTTTATTTAAACCAAACATAAAATACTTCTTTATAGCTTGTTTAACCGTTCGTATATTCTTCTCGTCTCTCGTCTGTTCGTATTTCACAATAATATTGTCTCTCAAATCTCCAGTAGAATCTATATATTAATAATATACGCGTCTCGCCCTGTCTCGTTTCGCTCCTCTTTGTTTATCTTTTTCTTTTGGTTGACAGTTCTAAACTAAAGTTATTATTAACGTATTGCGTCTGTCTACAACAAGCGTATTAGCAAAACTTTGAGCAAAGTTGCCTGCCTAAACAAGGGAAAATTTCGTTCTCGACCAATCAGCGCATTTGTTGACAATTTCGCTCTAAGCCAATCAGAATGCATAATTGGTTATCGTAGGTAGTTTCCCTGCCAGCACAGAAAGCCCACTTCCGGTAAAAACATACATTTGAACAGAAAATATAGAGTCCTAAATAAAACTTCGAGGGGGTCAGCTCCGTCAGGATTGTTAATTGAATTCAACTTGACAAGGTAAGGCCACATACAAAAAATAGTTGGTTAGCGTCCTTAGCTTTTGCCAAAAAGTGGGCGGGCGAGCGGGCGGGCGCTTTTTTTTAAATTTTTACTAATTTTTAACGCCTTGGTTTTAGGTCCGAAACTGGATTTTCTTGTGCTGTGCAGATATTTTTTTATATATTTCAAAATATGATTCATACCGTCATTTTCGCACGCAATTTCGCAATTTCTTAACACAATTGACTACACTCAACAAAAATACTACATATATTAGAGCCCGTTGATCAATAAAAGTTGGCTGGATTTTTAAAAATAAAAAATAAAAAAATCCTGAACGTGGGCTTTCTTGTCGGCGGACGAGGACGCTAACCAACTATTTTTTTTATGTGGCCTAAAATAAGAAATTTTCTAAAAATTTGCCGCTGGGATTTGATTTTTATTGCCTAGTTCTAAAATTATCGGCATTCGAACTTACGCACTTTTTGTGCGCCGCTGTTCGAATGCCGATAACTTTAAAACTTGGCAATAAAACGCAAATTCCAGCTGAAATTTATAGAAAATTTCTTATTTTACCTTGTAACGTTAAATCAAATAAAAAAAAAAAAAAATCCAGTCCCCCTCGAAGCTTTATTTAAGACCCTATATTTTCTGTTCAAATTTGTGTTTTTAGTAATAACCAATTACGCATTCTGATTGGCTTAGAGCGAAAATGTCAACAAATGCATTGATTGGTCGAGAACGAAATTCCTCCTTGTTGCCCGCCTATACAGGCGGCAAATAAAACTTATCATAGAAAACTTGCTCGTCTGTAATCGATTTAACATTGCCCTTGACATTGTCCTCAAGAATAAAGACCTTTGAGAGCTTTAGCTGTTGAGAAATTGCGATCGTAAGTGTCCAAACAAAGACTTTTTTAACTTATCAAAGACCTTTGACAGCTCTTTCAAGGCTTCAGCTGTTAAAAATTACGTAGGTGTCCAAAAAATTTTTATGCCTACTTAAAAAAAATCTAAAAACCTTCGAGAGCTTTAGCTGTTGAATAATTGCAGTTGTATGTGTCATTTCTACTTGGTAATTATAGCCTCGTCAAATCACGTATATAATGCGTCATCTTCGATATTTGATAAAATCTTGCGGCAGTCAATCTATTTTATTAGCTATAAGGAATGGCATAAATCAAATACTAACGAATTGAAGTACTTTTCAAGGACTTTGAAGAACTTTATTTAAGTTTAAAGACCGGTATGTGTTTAGTTAAAAATAAAGTAATATGGCAAGAGTTCCTTTTAGTTTGATAGAGGAGCCTGAATCACGGAAGCCTTTCAAAGTACACTTGGTTTCCTTCGCGTTGTTTCACATTTATTTAGCCAATATCTGTCATGTCATTCCAGAGTTTGTGTACAAATTAAATTGGCACTCATATGAGTAAACCTAAAATATTCCAAATAGAGCAAAGAAATTTAAACGAAAAGCATTCGAATTTATTGTTTTGAGACTAATTCAGATGCTTGGTTTGCAAGGGGCGGTTCAACGAAGCATGTGGTTCAACGAAGCGATATTTGATTGAACCGCGCTTAAAAGTAATATTTTTACTGTGTTTCAAGGTATAGGGAATTGGGGCCGCAGTCGTCCGAGCAAGCGACTTTCACCTCGGAGATCGCGGGTTCGATTCTCGCCATACGAACTCGTGTGAAAAGTGCCGGCGATTGTTCACTTGCTTGTTTGGTTATTTATAGACTACAATTAATATAAATACAATCTGGAATGTAGCACACAAGGTGCGAGATTTTTCTTTACCTTAATTTACCAATACATCCTCTTCATTTGCACGATGACTCTATGATGTATATCATAATACAGCCCCTTTATTAACCTGACCATCACCCCACCCCACTCTCACCCCTCCTAACTGGATGCACCTCACCCTGTTTAGGAGTTGGGCGGACGAAACGACCTATTCCCCTTCTAAGGCGATTACTTAAATAGATTAATGCATGCACACTTAGTTTTATGCAACTTTAAAATGATCACTTAAGGCTGATTTCCCTTGCAGTCGCTTTTCCCGCGCGGGCGGAGCGAACATTACTCAACTTTCTCTCTAGTTGTCTAACCTGTGCATTTTTTGTCCACCTGACTGCTCGCGGACACGCCATGAAAGTTAAACTACATTCAACTTTCTTGGCGTGCCCGCGCAACTGATTTTTCACGTGATTAAAATTGGTCTCTTCACCCGCGTGGGCAAAGCTACTGCAATGGAAAATGGCCTTAAGAACACATAGATTTAAGTAAGAGACCATGTTGAATTTACAGTTCTATCATAGGCGTACGGTGCTGAGGCTTTCTGGGGGAGGGGAGCGGTTACAAGTTTTCCCGAATTTGTTTGGACGATTGTAATGAAATAACTGAATTTAACATATTTTCTGATAAATCTGCCCAAATTTTCTTGATTTTTCCTAGCATTTACTCGAATTGCTATGGTTTGCCAAAATTTTGGGAGAGTACAGTTACACCCCCCCTGTCTCCTTCATTTATGAGTTCTATAAAACATACCAAGCTTGGCAATTACAATTAATTTTAAACCTCCATATTTACCGTTCACATTAGTGAAAACGTTATTTAAGCAAACTCTCCCTGTCAAACATCGCAGCTTGTTACGACCTCCGTTGAAGTTCACAAGCGGTCACGAGGTGCCCAACACGTTCGTCACGTGGTACATAAAATCAATGCCGTGTATGCAAATCTCGAGGGGCAAATTATCCAGCCTAGTGATTTCAATAATATGATGTCCTCGCTATGATGTCAATAATATGATGTCCTTGGTTAGCTGTTCTTAATGCTTTTCCAACACTATCATGTATTCCGTGTAAGAGAAATTGAAATGTTCCCCGTCACGTTTGATCTGGACTTAATTAGTGTTTGTTATATAGCGACGAAAAAAAAACACGCCACGATAAAACAATAATTATTTCATGAATAAAACTCTTTAATGTAAATTATTTTAACAATAAAGGAAGTGCTAAAAGGTGTTCAAGCAGGATTTCCTGTTGAGTATTTAATTCTTTTCTGTTAGACATTATTTTTGTAAACTGGAAAAACATTCTTTCTAATTTACTGGAAGCTGATTGGCCCCTTGGAAACGGAATGGAATGTTCGTCTCGACCGCTTATAATAAGCAGACCATTTATGCCATAAGTACGTCATTCTGCCAAGAAGACTAGCGCTGCAGTAGATTGAAAGATCAAGCGTGTTTTAAGAAAGAAACTGATATGGCGAGATTTTCTTTTGGTCTGTTAGAAGAGACTGAAATACGGAAGCCTTCGAAAGTACGCATGGTATTCTTCATATTGTTTCTGCTGCTTCTTATTCTGTCCGTAACCTTCATTGCGCTGTATTTTAAAGAGAAGACCAAATCTACAGATTCCTCTGAGAAGACCAAATCTACAGATTCCTCTGAGAAGACCAAATCTACAGATTCCTCTGAGAAGACCAAATCTACAGATTCCTCTGAGAAGACCAAATCTACAGATTCCTATGAGAAGATCAAATCTACAGATTCGACATCTGAGACGACCAAATCCACGTATTCACCCTACACATCTGAGAAAACCAAACCTACAACTTCGCCATCTGCTGGGACATGTCTTTCTCCTGCTTGTGCCACCAGTGCAGGTATGTTAGGGCTATTTTCATTATATAGCCTCGCAGTGACAAGATAGAATTATGAAAGGAACGATTTATTGAAATACAAATTGTTTCAATCGCTTCTTGGATAATAAATTGACCAGATGAGCTGACTGATTAAGCCAGTCAGTAAATACTCTATCCTGAGCCTTAAATGTCTTGTTTTTACAAATTGTTCCGAGTGATGGCGGATAATACTAATCCCGTTCCTAATCGTAACCTTAATCCTAATCCTATATAATCCTAGTTTCGTTATTTCGGGATAATATTGTAGGTCACCATTTTATCTTTGACAATAAATGACGTAATAAAGATAACTGAGTGTTCATAATGCGTGCATGACATGATTATTTCCTTGTATGCGGACGGCCTTTTCGTAATGACAAAAGTCTATATTACTAACAACATGTTAAATTAATAGTGCGTAACATGTTTTCAAATACAAAATCCGTTGTGTACTGTGCCATAATAATTCCAACTATCAATAATATTGATGTATTGCATTTGATTTAAAGTGCCCCTAACCCCCTTATTTGTGTAATTTTTTGATATATGCAGCTCTTGAATATTTAAAAAATATCTTTTAAAATTCGAAAATGTCGAAAGCAACGAAATGGTGCGTATTGTCAAAATTATCGTACGAAATTTCCGTAAACATTCCACGTTACCCACCAAACTTAGATATTGATTGCATATAGTCATCTAATTTCCAAAACGGAAGAACAAATTTTGGTGTGGCTAACATTCTTCGGTTATAAGACTCAATGACACTTTAACATGAAACAAGATATGTTTAACGTAAGAAAACGCAATAATCAGCAGCAATTCTAATTATTATAAATCCTAACTCGCAGTCCTCATTTCCTGTGACACCACGTTAAATTCTAATTTAATTGGCTGATTATATGATCACGTGATATGGAGTAAAAACTACCGTTTTATTTAACGGAACAAAACGTATAGTACAAAAATGGAAAATCTATTTTGGTACAAACAAGTGATGAATGTTTTTATACGTGCAATATGTGCAATGAATGTTTTCATCGGTGAAATGAAAATATTCGTCTCGTGGAATGGAAAATTACATCTTTCACTTCTTGAAAATATTTTTACTATTGCACTCATAAACATCCATTATTTGTATATGCTGTTACAACAATAGATCGCTGGCCAATCGCATGCAAGTGTTCAAATTACTTTGCCAAATTTTCTTGGTTGACCCGCACAGACAAACAAAAGATGTACTTTGCCAATTTTTTCCGTGACAAGTGCACTCAAAATGAGCTAGCCTATTAGTAAAGTTGCCTGCCTATACAGGCGGAAAATAAAACTTGTCATAGAAAACCCGCTTGTCTGTAACGCCTGTAACCATTTAATAAAGCCCTTGACACTGTCCTCAAGAGTCAAGATCTTTGAGAGCTTCAGCTGTTGAGAAATTGCTAAAGACTTTTTGTCCTACTTAATGAACTTTTCAAAGACATTATTTCATTAATTTTTTTTTTAATTAATTTACAAACTTTGCCGATAAAACAGTACATTACATGACAGGACAAAAACAAACGTAAATAATGAAATACAGTAGGTACATGACCACGGCTGGGTGACCGCAACAGCGAATAGCCAATTACGGCGGGCCCGACACAAAACTATCATTACACATATATACACACATACATGCGTTACAGGTGTGATCTTATTTACAGTTCAACTGCAACACGATATTGGACGTAACAGGCTTTGAGAGCTCTTTCAGGGCTTCAGCTGTTAAAAAATTTTTGTGTCGAAAAAAATTTTTTTATGCCTACTTAAAAAAAAATCAAAAACTCCAAACATTGTTTTCTATTAACTGACTGACTGAGTGAGCTTTCATTTTGTACTGATAGTTTGGTTTTAAATATGTGAATGTAATTCTATTTCTCGCTGTTATAGACAGTTTATCCCCGAGTCGACGGCGCGGAGCGCCGATCCGGGCGTAAGCCCAGGGCGAGGGTACTAATTCCGTCCGGCTATTTACACCCGCGGGGAAGCGAACGCATTAGCGAAGTCTAAAGTTCATCAATGATCGCGGGCATGGCTCACTAACGAAGTTTCGGTGGGTGGTCATCCTTACTAAACTCAAAAACATGGCTGTTTGCCAGGAGTGGGATAAACAAGATTTCAATTTTCAAAAGCATACATTTGGAAAATCACGTTTCACACAATGAGCTTTGAAGCAGTTTTTGTTTGAAGAAATGAGAAGAATTGATTTACTGTGTGGAAAGTCGTGGAATATAGGGCAAGTTTGCTTTGAATGTTTAATGTTTGTGAATTTTGTTGCTTTCATTTATTGCGAATAAAAACATGCACTGTTTTCGTTTTCAATGACAATGAAGCTGTATTAAAGTTTGCTAAATTACCCCTGTTTAATTTAGGAAAAAAGGTAAACTGTACAGGAGATGCAAATTAATTTGAAAACGGAACTGAAATTGCTCGTAACGTAAACGGAAGCCTGCGTTCAGTGTTAATTAATCAATTACCAATACTTCATGTTACATCAATGTTTGGAAAACATGCGAGGGGTTGCTGCATGCATGTATTTCTAGTATAAGTAATATGATAATTCCTTTTATCCACAATGGATATTTGTGCAATTAAGTTTCATACCCAGATCTTGTTGTAACCGCTTCTTGGATAATAAAATGACTAGATAAGCTGCCTGATTAAGTCAGTCAGTAAATACTCTATCCTGAGTCTTATATGTCTTAATTGTCTTTACAAATGTTCGGAGCGATAGCGAATAATTTAATACCCTAATCCCGTACCTAATCTTAACCTTAATCCTAATCCTAACTTTAATTCTAATTATTATGAATCCTAACTCGCAGTCCTTACTGGATCAACAAATTTTATGTGACAAGGGTTTGGTTTTCTCACTGCGATGATAAGTATTATAATCATGTGATACCTCGTTAAATTCTAATTTAATTGGCTGATAATGATCACGTGATATGGAATAGAAATTACCGTTTTGCAATGCAACAAAACATATAGTACAAAAATGGAAAATTTATTTTGGTATTATAAACAAATTATGAATCTTTTCATACGTGGAATAGTAAAAATATTTTCGGTGAAATGAAAATATTCGTCTGGAGTGGAAAGGAAGATTACATGTTTCACCTCATGAAAATATTTTTAACCATTGCACTCATAAACATTCATTTTATTTGTATATGCTGTTACAACAATAGATCGCTGGCCAATCGCATGCAAGTGTTCAAATTACTTTACGAAGAAAAGTTGTACTTTGCCAATTTTTTCTGTGACAAGTGCACTTGTTCAAGCTGGCGTGTAGGAAATATTTTTGACCCCGTAAAATTAATATGAAATATAAATTGTCTCTCGATTTGATTTAACGTTACAAGGTAAAATAATATGCAATTTTCTATAAATTTGCGGCTAGGAATTTCGTTTTATTGCCTAGTTATAAAATTATCGGCATTCGAACTTACGTGCTTTGTATACGCCGCTGTTCCAATGCCGATGACTTTAAAACTACGCAATAAAACGCAAATTCCAGCGGAAATTTATAGAAAATTTCTTATTTTACCTTGTAACGTTAAATCAAATAAAAAATTTAAAAATCCAGTCCCCCTCGAAGCTTTATTTAAGACCCTATATTTTCTGTTCAAATTTGTGTTTTTACCGGAAGTAATAACCAATTACGCATTCTGATTGGTTTAAAGCGAAAATGTCAACAAATTCATTGATTGGTCGAGAACGAAATTCCTCCTTGTTGCCCGCCTATACTGACGGCAAATAAAACTTGTCATAGAAAACTTGCTCGTCTGTAATCGATTTAACATTGCCCTTGACATTGTCCTCAACAATAAAGACCTTTGAGAGCTTTAGCAGTTGAGAAATTGCGATCGTAAGTGTCCTAACAAAGACTTTTTTAACTTATCAAAGACCTTTGACAGCTCTTTCAAGGCTTCAGCTGTTAAAAATTACGTGGGTGTCCAAAAATTTTTTATGCCTATTTAAAAAAAAAATTAAAAACCTTTGAGAGCTTTAGCTGTTGAAAAATTGCAGTTGTATGTGTCATTTCTACTTGGTAATTATAGCCTCGTCAAATCACCTATATAATGCGTCATCTTCGATATTTGATAAAATCTTGCGGCCGTCGATCTATTTTATTAGCTATAAGGAATGGCATAAATCAAATACTAACGAATTGAAGTACTTTTCAAAGACCTTGAAGAACTTTATTTGAATTTAAAGACCGGTATGTGTTTTTAAAAATAAACTAATATGGCAAGAGTTCCTTTTAGTTTGATAGAGGAGCCTGAATCACGGAAGCCGTTCTAAGTACGTTTGGTTTCCTTCGCGTTGTTTCACATTTAATTAGCAAAAATCTGTCATGTCATTCCAGAGTTGTGTAAAATTAAATTAGCACTCAAATGAGTAAACCCAAAATATTTCAAATAGAGCAAATAAATTAAAACGAAAAGCATTCGAATTTATTGTTTTCAGACCTGAGATTCTTGGTTTGCATGCGGCGGTTCAACGAAGCATGTGGTTCAACGAAGTGATATTTGATTGAACCGCGCTTGAAAGTAATATTTTTACTGTGTTTCAAGGTAGAGGGAAGGGTGCTTCGGTGGTGCAGTCGCCAGAGCAAGCGACTTTCACCTCGGAGATCGCGGGTCCGCTTCTCGCTATATACGAACTCGTGTGAAAAGAGTCTGCGATTGTTCACTTGCTTGTTTGGTTATTTATAGACTACAATTAAAATAAGTGCAATCTGGAATGTAGCACACAAGATTTTTCCTTACCATAATTTACCAATACGTTATCTTCATTTGCACGACGAATCTATGGTGTATGTCATCATACAGACACATTAATTACCTGACCCTCACCCCACCCCCACTCTAACCCCTCCTAACTGGGGCAACCTTACCCTGATGGGGGGAGGACGAAAAACTACGCACCCCGGCACGACCTACCTCCCTTCTAAGGCGACTACTTAAATAGATTAATACATGCACTCTTAGTTATATGCAACTTTAAAATGAACACAGATTTATCTTGCCCATGGCCATGTTGAATTTACAGGGGGGGAGTTAAAAGTTAGCCCGAATTTGTATGGACGATTGTGTAATGAAATGAACTGAATTTAACATATTTTCTGATAAATCTGCCCGAATTTTCTTGATTTTTCCTAGCATTTGCCCGAATTTCTATGGTTTACCAAAATTCTGGAAGGGCCAGCTGCACCCCCTGCCCTCCTGTCTCGTACGCCCGTAACTTCTCAAAAAATACCCAGCTTGGCATTTATATTTCATTTTTAACCTCAATATATATACCGTTTACATTAGTGAAAACGTTATTTAAGCAAACTCTCCCTGTCAAACATCGCAGCTTGTTACGAACTCCGCGTCGAAGTTCACAAGCGGTCACGAGGTGCCAACACATTGGTCACGTGGTACATAAAATCAATGCCGCGTATGCAAATCTCGAGGGACCAATTATCCAGTCTATAGTGATTTCAATAATATGATGTCCTCGCTATCCGTATTGAACGACGTTTTTGGGAAAGGTTACACGATAAAATTTGTGGTATACATACATAAGTTATCTAACGGTTCTGAGTGACAATTCAATGCGTTATAGAAACTTGTGAACCGAAAACAATCTAAGCACACACTACAAAGTTCAGCAATTAATGATTTTATTTACTGTAATCGCATGTATTTATAAAATTCACCTCAATTGGCTCAAATTTGTTATAGTTGATTTGCACATTTTATTCGTGAAATACTGTGATGATTTGGTATTATTTAGAGCACACTCCTGTACAATATAGCTGTGACTTAGTGAAGCATGTATTCTCTCACAATCTGTGATTAACTTTTTCTTTTGAGTTGAAATCTACCAGTATAACCCAGGACGATATTCTTTATGTTTCCATCATAGATACCGGTTTCCATATAGAGTTATTAGTTGAATTTGTACTATTTAAAGCACGCGTAGGAGTTTTTATCACATATAAAACACGACGCGTAGCGGAGTGTTTTATATGTGATAAAACACGACTACAAGTGCTTTAAATGGCTTAAAAAACGACTCATCTTATACGAGTTCATTGGCGAAATAATTTTTAAAATAAACTTTGTCTAAACCGAGAAAATCAAAGCTAAAGTTTATGTAAATTAACATGATTTTTTATCACATATAAAACCACGACACGCTTATGATTTTTCTTTGTGTTTTGCTCCTGAATTATTAATGAGTTTTTTAATGAATGTTTACTAGTGCTGCCATATGAGATTGATATTTATTCCTGATTATATAAACATAAGTGTTATATCGAGTTTTTGGCCACTGAGAAAAATCGTATTTAAACACACGTAAAAAATACGATATTTTTACGTGTGAAAATATCATTTGTTGTAAAACGCATTGCCACGGACGTTTTATTGTTTTTCACTGAATTTTGTTTATATAATAAACAGAAAAATACATGGGTGCTTGGAAATACCAGATTTATTTCTCGTATTGAACATGATAGGCTCACTCATTCGCTGCGCGCACACTCGCGAGATATCATGTTCAACACTCGAAATAGATCTGGTATTTCCGCGCACCATTCTCTATATATTACACACATGCATTGCCTGCTTCCGAGTTTCAGGCAGTGATTTAGAACTGAAATGATATAAAATGCACAACAACACAGGTTAAGGGCTTCTGATTGGCTGATCCTCTATGAATCACTAAAAAATGTTTGGCTCCTTAATAATTAAGATAATAGGAATGGAATGCTCGGCTCGGCTGCGAACCATGAGAAAATCGCTCTACAAAGAATATAAGCGCTGCCGTGGATTGAAAGATTAAGTATGTTTTAAGAAATAAACTGATATGGCAAGAATTCCTTTTGGTTTCTAGCTATAGAGGAGCCTGAACATTATATCCAATTTAAGTACACAAGAACACGGCTATTCTTTGCTAAGTTATAAGGCGGCTACTGATTGGTTTCCCATATAAATTTTCACTGGAATCTGATTGGCTCCTTGGAAACGGAATGGAATGTTCAGCTCGACCACTTATAATAAGCACAGACCATTTGCGCCATAAGTACGTCATTCTGCCAAGAAGACTAGCGATGACGTGGATTGAAAGATCAAGCGTGTTTTAAGAAATAAACTGATATGGCGAGATTCCCTTTTGGTCGGTTAGAAGAGACTGAAATACGGAAGCCTTCGAAAGTACACTTGGTTTTCTTCATATTGTTTCTGCTGCTGCTTATTCTGTCCGTAACCTTCATTGCGCTGTATTTTAAAGAGAAGACCAAATCTACAGATTCCTCTGAGAAGATCAAATCTACAGATTCCTCTGAGAAGATCAAATCTACAGATTCGACATCTGAGACGACCAAACCCACGTATTCGCCCTACACATCTGAGAAAACCAAACCTACAAATTCGCCATCTGCTGAGACATGTCTTTCTCCTGCTTGTGCCACCAGTGCAGGTATGTTATAGAGGCTATTTTCATTATATCGCCTCGCAGTGGAATGAATTATTGAAATACAGGGTGTCTAAAAATACGCTATAGAAATTCAATAGGCTGTCGTGCATCATATACTTAACTAAACAATTCAATTTTTATATAGGACGAAAGAACAGTTATTTAGCTTTTCAATGATACTTCACTCTTTTTAAATCATAACGATGAGAAATGGCCACATACTCGTCAAATAAAAATTGCCGCGGTCGAAATCACATTCCTCCACCGTTGGGGAATTGCATGGAAAACAAAACATAGACAATTTCCAAGAGGGAATTAAAATTGAATGTTAAATTATCTAAGATGAGCTCACTCGTCAATCTTCATCTTAGTGAGACAATAAGAACGTCAATTAAACATGGTTCAATTAACCACTGAACAGAGCCATTCGTAATCAAAAGTTTTACGAAACAAATAGCTTGCAGCAGGCTCGCATTGCTTTTGGATTGATTAACTTTGCATAATTAATGTATTTTCAATTCCCAACGGTGGAAGAATGTGATTACGACCGGCAGTTTTTATTCGACGTGTATGTGGCCGTTTCTCATCGTTACGATTTAAAAAAGGTATCATTGAAAAGCTAAATAACAGCTCTTTCGTCCTATGTAAAAATTGAATTGTTTAGCAAAGTTGATGATGTACGACAGCGGACAGCCTGTTGAATTTCCATACTGTTTTTTTAGACATCCTGCATGGTACAAACAAAAAGTCGCTATAGGCGTAACAAAGAGTGATTAAAAACATTGTGTGACCGAAATTTTGTTGATCAGATCGTGCAGTAAATGTAATTCAACAAGATTATTATGAGGCACTGGCTGTTTCCTTCTTAAACAGCGGGTTTCCTTTGCAAAATTTTCCTATTACCAGCACAGTAATGAATTTCTGCGACATCACGAACCGTGACTTATTTCAGCCATCAAAACATCTCACCTTTTATCTTGTTCTGGCAGAGCGGGAAAATAAATTAACATTTCCTAAAAATAAAAGTAACATAGTCTTTACGCCTTGTCGGGGTTGCGTGTTTCAGTCTGGTATTCAACATGTAGTTTCTATATAACCCTGCAAAATTCCAGCCAGACATGCCAGAAGTTTAATTCACACAATAAGCATTCATTTAGGTGATATAGTTTTTTAGGACATATTTCAAATCTGCTCCTCGTATAATTATATAATAATTCATATTTTGTGTTAACGTTTGTGTTGGTGCGAAAATTGTCATATCTATTTCATGCTGAAAGTTTGTGTATATTTTAAATTAAGCCACTCAAGAATCCCAGTTCGATTATATGCGTGGGCGTCCCTAAATAGATTCCGCGTGCATTCCTTCTTCGACTGGTTAGATTTGCAGCTGTTTATATTCGCCCATGCAGGTATTAGGCTAAGCATAGCCTGCTCGCAATCCCGAATCGTTCCGCTTCAAATTTTCGGGTGCACGTCAGTTTGATTCCCCTTCTGCAAACCGTTACAAGGCCAATATAAATTTGAACGCAATCACGAAAAAAAGATTAAAAACATCGCCAACTCAATGCAATACATTGTAGGAGCAATCTGTTTTGCTCCTAAAATTTACTGCATTGAGTTCGCTGACAGAAAAAAAGCTGTCAAATATATTGTGTCGTTCCTGGATGCACAAGGAAACAATACGGAAAGAGATATTTTGGCGAAAAAATTTCATTTCACTGGTACGTAAATTGACTTGCAACTGTGACTTTGCCGTTGCCATTTTTCACGATTGTTTGAATTGTTTTTTGGTTTATCAGTTTTATAGTTTTTAGTCAATACACTCCATGGCACGTTATTTTTCAAGAATTTATTGTGTGATCGGAATTTGCTTGCCAGCAAAATGTATATATATATATA